TGGATCACTGGCTCAGTAAGAGAAGAACCAAAGGTTACATTTAATGTGTCCATAAACTTTATGTCATCTATAAGAGTACAGTTGAGGAGACATGAGAGCTTCAATGTACCTCTGCTCCCTGGAATTGGAACAAGCGGTCCAAGTGAGATGGATGAAGTGTCATGAAAAGATGTGTCCTTCCGGACTCGCCTGTGGTAGCCCAGGTAACAGCGCTGAGGGGGAAAAAAATGTTTATAGGCTTCTGCTGATTTAACAGTTTCAAATTTGTACACAAGAATGAAAACCAATAAAAATGAAAACAATACGAATTAAAAACATTGGTACATACAGCTGTACAATTGTATCTCAAAAGACACAGGTGGACCCGGCAATGAAGGTAAATGGATGAATAGTTGGTAAAAGTGAACATCCTGAAGGAGAATCAGGCCTCAGTGGAGATGCCGTTCTGAATCAGCTCTACTGTTCCATCAGCTTCATTGGGACCCCTGGAAGACATTTAAATATCCCAGATTATAAAGCAAAGTAGCAGAATTCATTATGAGGAAGAATTGGTGGAGAAACCGAGGAGAGGTCTGTCTGGGGCTGACTCTTTCAAGTTTTTAATAAAGTATACTAAGACAAGGTGAACTTCTCTTACTCTGCAGTAACAAGATGGGCAGATGGGGTAGTTTGGCATGTTGACTGGTGTGGCCCAGCAGGAGTCCCGAATGGTGGAGATCTGGCTTTGATCCACTCCTTCTGTTTGCACCTCCACATTTAACCTCTGATCTATTTCCATTTCTATGTTTGTGTTACTCCTGAAGGGGAAGCGGAAGCCAGGGTCCTGGAAGGGGATCATTCTCATGCTGTACTGTCCTTGACCGGTTGCAATCTTCTTCCTAATGATGGTATAAAACACATAATAATGCTAAAAATGGGTTGATTACCAAATGATTGTAAATATGTTTTATCTATCATTTTATCTCAAGAGCTTCCCAAAAATAAAAATTTTACATTTTAATAGTGAATCCAGTTCACTTCCATTTTTACAGATGTAAACTATGAGCTTACAATGTAGTGCGTTTACATTTAGCTGCGAATGCTGTGCTAGCTGTAGATATTTGCAATTTAACATCCATGAACATTAAAATATGTAACACTGATGTGTGACAACCCCCACCCCTCTCAAAAAACTGTAGCTTTGACAAGTAGTAAACAGACCGGTAGTTATATTGCATCTTTCTACTCAGCACTCAAATCTGTTTCTGTCTCATTCACCCAATCACCCACACATTAATTTGTGCATACAGCACATTTTATCAATGCCTACGTGCTTTCAAACATTCACAGGCTCACACAACAGTGGATGCATGAGGAGTAACTTGGGATTTAGTATCTTGCCCAAGGATACTTTGGGATGTGGAGTGGAGGAATCTGGAGTTAAACAACCTTCCAAGTGTTGGAAAACCCATGCTACCACTTGAGCCACACCCTCCCTGTAGATGTAAACTCCTTGCTGGTGGTCTCGCCCCTTCTGCGTCCAGCTGTTAACAGGGGTCGGACTCCTCTACAGAGGCATAGGGACAAGGATCAAATAAAAGAAAGCCAATCTTTCAAAGAAAACTGACAAGCTCTATGATGAAGACATCACTTAATTGTTCAGCACAAACTTACTTCACAGCAAACCAGAGCGCCATTCAGGGATGTCTAGCCCAAAAACAGAGCAGGTTTTCTCATAGGCTGAGACAGCAGAACACAACATGCCATTAGCTGGAGTGTAGAGGCAGAGGTCATAGACACAGGAAGTGAAAAATGGCTCAGGGTGAGAGTGCAGGTGGCAGGTACCAAATAGTGTTAGTGCTTAGTGTTTACCGTTACTCTTTTATTGGGTCCAATCCTGATGTACACACTTTCTGGATGATTTGACAGGTATATGTCCACTGCAGACACAAATGACACACGGTTGTTTCCACGGTGATTGTTGGTGGCTATCACCTGTAACTGGGTTTCATTAGAGCCATTGCTCGTGCTCTCAGTGATGATGTAGGAGCAAGTTCCCTGGAAATGAGCCACTGCTCCATCAAAGGTGATGTAGTGTGGATCCCCCGACACAGTGCAGGTGGACATGGCATCGTAACAGCCCAGCTGGCCATCTCTGAAGGAGCACTGCTGTTTAGGAGTGCAAGATGCAGCAGAACATCGCAGGTCATTTGGAGCGTGACATTCACATCTCTGGGAGCAACCGTCTGTCCAGAAGGATTCGCCAGCCTGTGTGAGAAAATTTAACTAAAGGAGAAAGAATGATCAAAGTTAATAGCAAAGTACACCATGTATTTATTGTTACCAAGCCATTATAGTAGAATTCATCATATTGGCAGCCACAGCCTTCCACTGGGACACACCTGGTTCCAGATGACATTGAAAGATGACATTAAAACTTGTTCACTTTATGACTACTAAAAAAAGTTTCTCTATTATTGCTAAAATATGACAAAATGAATGTTTCATTGTTGTCACATTGTTTTTTTTTTAATCATTACTAAAGCTAGACATTGACAAAAATGAAAATTTTTCCTTTTATTGCTAAAAGATGCAAGATTAATATTTTATTTATGCTAAAATCTGTAAATAAATAGACATTCCTCAATTAAATTAGGTTGTCATATTGTTTTTATTATCATTGTCATTTAACATCAGCATCCACATTAGTATCCACACTCGTAGTCCAAGAGTACTTGTCTCGCGTTTGGTAAAGTGGTATAGTTGGTAAAGGTGAACATCCTAATGAGAAACGGGCTACGGTGGAGACGCCGTTTTGAAGCAGCTCTACTGTGCCATCTGCTGGATCAGGACACCTAGGTAACAGCATAATGTGAAAGTTACAGTGTTAATGTGCAAACAACTTAGTTATGATAAGAAGATGATTAAAGTTCACCCATCACAAAAGACAAGAAAAGAAAAGAAAAGTTAAGACAATGTCTTTACTGTGTGGTGATCAGATCCCTAATCTGTCTCTCGCTCTCCCTCTCTCTGTCTTACAGACGCATACACACCACCACCATCAACTTTGCTAAATTACTAATGAAAAACATTGACCAGGCAGCTGCAATTGAGCAGCAATGTCCATCCAACTCTTTTCATGGTTGTTGTAGTCGTCACAATTTTGTGAGGCCACATTGAAAAGCCTCGGATACGGAAGCGTAGAGCTGCCACCCAGGCAAAAGAAAAATAGAAAAGTATATTGTTCTAACAATATACTTTTCATGTTTGTACAATATACTATCATGTTAGTACAATATACCTTTCACGTTTGAACAATATAATATCACGTTCATTACAATATACATAATTATCACTTCGTACAATATAAATATTATATAGGCTACATCGCAGCTCCAGTCACGGCTTCCATCACTGTCTTTCTCGTCTTTTCCCAGAGTAACAGCCAAACAGGAGGATCTATTGGCTAGCACTGCTTAGCCTTGCACGCATTCTTATTTTAAACTTAATCTGGAATTCATTGCAAACTGTTTGTGCGGGATATGAATGACAGGATTTTGTTTTTCTACAAGAGTTAGTAAAAAACATCTCCAGTGTGATCAAATCTTCTTGCCAAACATCTGCAGCTTGGCAGTGTATACAGCACTATAATGACCAGACCTAATTCTTTTGAAAACCATACATCTTTCCACAGGTCTCAACTTCATCAGACATCACCTAGACTATGAGCGCCGAGAGCCAGCCAACATTTGGCTTTCTACCTTTAAAACCCCCTCCAGCCAAATGGCTGGTAGGGTTTAGCTAAGCTTTAGCTTCAGCCAAGTGGAAGCTAAATTGGCTAGTCATTCATATGTAATAGGTTGTTACCTGGGAATTCTGGGGAGGGGAGTGGGGGTGTGTGATATGAGGGGGGTGGGGGAGCTGCTAAAAGCTGTGAACTTCCTTTTGTGTTCGTCTTGATGCATTCTCAATCATCCAGGGAAATAAATCTCCAAAAGTCACCACACTGGTTCTAGCCCGGAAACTTGTGTTTCAGTTTGCCATCTTAGGGAGAAATACACACATGCCCAGCCAACATTTATATGTGGGGCCCATATGGTTTGGAAATGGGCTGAAAAATGGGCCCCATATAGGATTGTCCGCGGGTTCCGTAATGGCCCCATATTAAATGCCCATATAGGTGTTATGTTAGGAAAATCTGGGAACTAAATGGGCCCCAACTGGGAAAAGTACACAGAAACCCACCTGGGCCCCATCTTTCAAGTTTTTTGTGGGTACCATGTGGGCACCACATAGGCTAAAAAGTGGGTTTTAAGTGGGATTGTCCGCGGGTTCCATAATGGCCCCATTTAATAAGCCCATCTCGGTGTTATATTGGTAAAATCTGGGAACTAAATGTGCCCCAACTGGGCAAAAGTACACAGAAACCCACCGGGCCCCATCTTTCAAGTTTTTGTGGGTACCATGTGGGCACCACATAGGCTAAAAAGTGGGTTTTAAGTGGGATTGTCCGCGGGTTCCAGTAATGGCCCCATTTAATAAGCCCATCTTCGGTGTTATATTGGTAAAATCTGGGAACTAAATGTGCCCCAACTGGGAAAAGTACACAGAAACCCACCTGGGCCCCATCTTTCAAGTTTTTTGTGGGTACCATGTGGGCACCACATAGGCTAAAAAGTGGGTTTTAAGTGGGATTGTCCGCGGGTTCCATAATGGCCCCATTTAATAAGCCCATCTCGGTGTTATATTGGTAAAATCTGGGAACTAAATGGCCCCAACTAGGCAAAGTACACAGAAACCCACCCGGGCCCCACCTTTCAAGTTGTTTTGTGGGTACCATGTGAGTACCATATAGGCTAAAAAGTGGGTTTTAAGCGGGATTGTCCGCGGGTTCCATAATGGCCCCATTTTGTAAGCCCATCTCTGTGTTATATTGGTAAAATCTGGGAACTAAATGGACCCCAACTGGGCAAAGTACACAGAAACCCACCCGGGCCCCATTTTTCAAGTTCTTACCCAGTCAACACACATACGTGGGGCCCAAATAGGGAGCATCAGGGCTAATATTTGGGGCCCACTTGGGAAACCCAACTGGGGTCCAGCTAATTTTGTCCTCAGTTTCCATGGTGGCCCCAAGTGTGTTTGCCCAGATGGGCTAATGACGGGCCCTGGATGGGCCCCAAATCAGGCCCAGCCAATAAACAAGTGTGGGACCCAGATGGGTAGAAGTGGGTCTGATAGTTGGGGCCCACTTGGGTTACCCACCTGGGACCCAGCTACTTTTGTCCTCAGTTTCCATGGTGGCCCCAAATGTGTTTGCCCAGATGGGTTAATGATGGGCCCCAAATCAGATCCAACCAAAAAAACTTGTGGGGCCCATATCCATAGAAGCGGGTCTGATATTTGGGGCCCACCTGGGTTACCCACCTGGGACCCAGCTATTTTTGTCCTCCATTTCCATGGTGGCCCCAAGTGTGCTTGCCCAGATGGGATTTTGGATACTACAGTAAGCTAAAATTTAAATCACCTGTACAACAAAGTCAGTTTATCTTTTTTATTAATACTGATTAATATGACATTTTAAAACAGTATGCAGTATAACAGTAATTTTTTATATACTATACAAATATTTTTTTTGTTTAGAGAACATGTTGACAAAAAAGGTCCCTAGTATACACAAAACAATAACAAATCAATGTTATACAGTTTAAACGAAAAAGAAATGCACTGAAACACAGCTTCTCACTCATTCAGTGATCCATTGGTCCTGAAAAAAAAAAGTGCATTTTTTCACAAATAACATCAGATTTGCAATACTACTGGAGTTGTTTTGAAAGTTGTGCTGATCAAGTTGTTTGACTGGCTGGCTGGCGCTGGAGTTCCTGGAGCTGATTGTGCAAAGAAGAATATTGCACAAACTGCTAAACATAACTGGAAATTGTTCACATACCGTAACACAGTGAGGAACCAAAAAACGGTTTAGTGAGAGCTGTCTTCAAGTATGCTGCAAACCAGAGAGAAATATGTGGTCATTCCTGGCAGCAGCCATCACCCTCCAGAACAACATGAGCTGATGCCCCCCCCCCCATAAAAAACCCAAACATAATTTCCCTCAATAATACAGTATTTGTAATTAATTTCATCTCCACAGTCTATCTAAACCGAGTCACTAAGGTATACCTCTCCTGCATGCGACACTGTGCCCTTGCCATGCGATTTCCTCCTCTATCTCTTGCACCAATAAACCACTTGGATGCTGCCTTTTCTGCCTCTTTTCTGGTAATCTGGCTTGTAAGAGCATTTTTTTTCAAGCTGCCTGTAAAGCACAGATATTGACCACAAGAAAGTGAGACTATATTACTGAATCTAAAGACACAGCTGTAATTCTCTTTTTTTGTTACATACTTATATTTATACTGTGACACGGCATAAGATCTCACATAAATGTAGAACCAAAGTATAAAAACCTTAAATCAGTGATTAAATTGATTGGAAGACTGACTACAGCTGAAATGAGCATCTGTTATTCAAACATCAACAAAATATCTTACAACTAATGAGCTTACCATATAGCACTTCGAAAATTTTAAGCCCTCGAAATTCCCGCTTTCCATGGCGCCCAACGAAGTTATATTGCCTGGAAAGAGCATTGTCCATAATGAAGGCCATCATTCTTCTGGTGGCTTCATCAACAGTGCTCCCTCCGATCTCTGCCACAACAGCAACCTTAGGACACACAAGGACAATAATTTTACCGACAGTAGTACCATCAGTCACACCTAAAAGAAAACCTGCACAGCTACACAGTAATTAGGCTTAATAATTTTGATGCTATTTGATTGAGAAAGAGTTAAGTATCAAAGTCAAACACTGTCTGATGTAAATGCAAAGAGCTAAATGACTGATCCACCAAAAGTAATTTCTTAAGGTTTGGCGTGGCACAACTTGTAAAGTACAACTTATTTTATTTTCAAAAACAGCAACTTTTGTGGAGCTCACCTTCCACTACTTCATTGCACTGACCATGTTTGAACAAACACCAACTTTCCTTAATCATAACTGCTAGCATAAAACGCAGATTGAGGCATTAATCAATTATTGTCATTACATCATTATTATTTACCACTTCTTTCAGGAAGACAGGGTCTATCAGTTTTTGTTCCAGTGCTTCCACGTCTGCGACTGTCCGGAGAGGAAAAACAGCACCCTCGGGTAATACTGCAGCAACTGGTCCATCACGTTGTTTGAGGAGAGACTGTAGCATTCGACTGTGGATCCTCTGAGTCTCCTTAATGTCTTCCAGGAGGGTTAGAACACGTACAAACATGCTGGTATTGGTGGCTTGTACAAGTTGTCTTGGAACTGGTTGTGAAACCACAGGTGAAGGAGTTGAGGGTGGTGGTAGCTGAACAAATGGATGAGTGACGTTCTGGTGGGGAGTTTCACTTGAATGTCTATTCTCCATTGCTGATGTTGATGAGGTCTCTGGCTGTTCCGCAGCGTTGTCCCAATCCTCATCCGAGCTTGACTGGATCACTGGCCTTAAAATGAATTTAAAAAAATATTTAAAAAACCCCACAAACAATTTAGTTACTGGTTAGTCCTACAAACTAAAAACATTAATGTATAGTCCGGCATCAAAAGGAGTCTAAAACTGATTTTTAAAAGTCAAAAAGTTACAAAGTGCTATTTTAAGATCATATCTAAATCTGGTGAGCAGTAATGGTCTGCTAAAGATACTGTCAGCTTGTTTTTGTTTTTCTTATAATCACCACAATAAATTGTTGCTTTTAAGGCGTTTTTAAGAAACATAATTACCTCCTTTTCCGCTTCCCTTTTCCCAATCTGCTTCCAGAATCCGACTCAGTCTGCAGATCAGAGGTTGCTTCAGACCTCCGCAGTTTCACCCTGGCATTTTCATAGTTTTCTGTAAATTTTTGACATACATCAACAAAATGTTGTTAGTGAAATTACAGGGAAATTTTTTGTTCTGTCTTTAATGACAGAATATTTGGTAGCAATAAACAAAAATGCTTCTTACCAGCTTTCCCCAAGATGCGAACTCTGTAATGTGACCAGTTTGCATCTGGAGTAACTCCATCCTTTACAGCCTTATTGATATTGACTCTCCCTGGTGGCCAGAAACAAGAATCTTCCGCTGGTCCTGTAAACCACTTGCAAGGAATTATGGATACACCTCCACCATCCAGAAAATCAACAACTGCAAATGGTAGCATGCTGGTGAGAAAGCAAAAAGAAGCCAACTAGTACAGCAGTGGCAATGCCACATATCCAGACTTCAGTGGCAAAAGCACCATTTTCTGTTTTAGTTCATCAAGTAATACAAGATTCATTTGTTTAGACAGATTTGAAACAAAGTAAATTCCAAGGCATGTTGAGTCCAATGGATAGCTGAAAAAGGCATTACAGTTTTCAAAGACCTGACACAGTGCTTTGACAACTTGGCAATCCTGTAAAATGTTTGCCACAATAAGAATTTTTCCCCCTACATTGAAACAGTTATCTCCCATGGAGCAAGAAACATATGTCTGTCCATCAGTGTATTTTCTGTACTGCTTAAAAGTTCCAAGATCACTTGTTATTGGTCCAGAGTTATGAGGCTGTTTAAGAGGAGAGGGAACAGACATCCTCTCTTTTCTTTTCTTCTGAATACTTTGCGTCTCATAGACGCGCTTGACAATTTGTTCCACAGGTTTATGAGGCCTCCGCACAATCTTTTTCAGTTTACCCAGGAAGGTTTCAAATGGGAAGCAGGAAATACTGTCCAAAGGTCCAAACTTTCGCGCATCTTCAGCTAGGTGTATTAAATTATGTACATTATAACCAACAAATTCAAGACCATAAATCGAACCAAAATCTTTCACAAACTGCTTTAAAACATCCTCTGCATAATCACAGTTCTCAATACACAAATCAGGACTAAGAAGAATTCTTATAGATACAGATAAAAGTATAAAGTGTCTATACATTTGGCTTGGTATATTATTAAATAAAACAACTGGGCCTGTGTAAAGCAAAAATTGTCTCAATTCAGTTGCTTTCCACATGCTAATTTCAAGGAGAGATCTTGGTTTCCTTGCAAAACTTTTAGGCAAATGTTGCCTGACAGAAACCATGAATGCTGAAATCACGGTTAGAATTTGCATAGACTGTCTGCATTTTCGGGGACCTTTTAACCAAAGATAAATAAGTTTTCGCATTACCCCCAGACACCCAAGGTGCATATAGTCCAGCACAAAACCTGAGACTAGTCCCACACCCAACTCATTCAGAGGTGACACCCCAACCTGATGCTCTTTGTAGGCCATAGCACGAAAAGTCTCATCAGTCCTTTGCTCAGCAGAAATTTCAGGAAAACACAATCTCCTATTCACATACATGCCCTTTTGAGTGCACCGCTCACACGCATAATAGCCAGTGTGTCCCTTCACACATTTAAGAAAAGCACGAGCAGGTGCATCACAAATGAATGCATCTGGAGCAGCAACACTGAAATGGACACCATTATACTGAACTCCATCTTGTATAATTGCCCTTACATCTTGTACAAAGTCATTCAAGTACTCCTGTACATTAGAAGGTTTGGTTGTACCTGAGTATAACCCGATCACAAAAACATCACAATTTGGGATCTCCTTGATTCTACCCAGAATAGGCCACAGACTAACATTGTTGCTGCGGAATAAAGGTAGACCATCAACATTAATTCTAAGTGTTAGATTGTTTGTTAGTTTCTTTAAATCAAAATCTAAAAGCTCCAATGCTGCAACAATTGAATTCTTTAAACCAAAATGGTAGTATGATCCCCCAGCCACATTTATCACATTACATTTGCGGGCAGTTGACATCAATGTTCGAGCATCTAGTGGTACATTAAGACCTTTCTGTCTAAGAATTTTAAGAAGGGCAGACAAAGCATTATGTGACACATTGTATTCTGCAGCCCACTCTGCAAGTCCTTTTGTATCATCTGGTGTGTCTGAAAAAGCATCAGAATCGAAACAGTCATCGTCCAGATCAAATTCATTAAACTCAGACACCCCACTTTCAGAGTCTTCAGGAAACACGTCAAAGTCCAAAGCATCATAAAAAATGTCTGCAGATTGTTCATTTTGTGAACTGACTCCAGCATGTTCATCGCAATCATGGTACTCTTCCACAAGGGGTTTATTCTCAAAAGAATCCGAGAAAAAAATTAAGTCCTGATGATGATCTGACTCATTCTGCTGTGAAACGAGACGTAAATGTTCAACAACTTTCGCAGCTATTTTTCTTCTCTTTGTCCTCTCAGATTGCTCCATTGCTTTCTGAAAGATAAAATGTATAAAAATGATGTAGTATTTTTCAGTCACCTGGGTAACAGCTTGGATAGGTTACACTAACTACATCAACAGGTCCTTACTCAGAAATATTATTGGGGCCTGACAACTATCCAAAGCACATTTACATGTTATTAATCGTGGTTAATAAAGCCATTTTCTTAAATTTCATTCACTTTAGCATTTGACTGTCACTTGTGTATTAGAAATATAGGAACAATCATCTTCTGGTGGGGATTTGTGCTGTTGGTCCTTCAGTTTAGCTTTAGATATTTAGAAGTCAAATTGGGCAAAGATCTACTTCTATATAATAAGCTCTAGTACATCAATCTTTATTATTTTCAGCTCATGATTTATTTCCATTTTTCCATTTTTTTGATTGTTGGATTTTTCTCTGTATGTATTGTTGTAGGGTCTAGCTTACAATATAAAGCACCTTGAGGCGACTGTTGTTGTGATTTAGTGCCGTATAAATAAAACTGAATTGAATTGAACCATCTCACAAGCTTACTCACAATTAGGGGTAGGTTTCAATAACCGATTTTCCGATTAAAATCGATTGTAGTTTGAATTAAGTGATATGGATTCATTAAAATCCTGAATTGACTTTTAAATTTAAATGTATTTTGTCAGAAAGGCTCAGGCTACGTACACGGGTATTTTTGAAAACGCAGATTTTTCTATGCGTTTGGGCCTTTCTTCCACACGTAAACGGCGTTTTGGGTCACTGAAAACAGAGATTTTTAAAAACTCCTGCCAGGGTGGAGATTTTCGAAAACTCAGTATTTGCGTTTAAGTATGGATGAGGAAAACGGAGATTTAGTCACACAACGTCAAAAGTGTGTGTCTTTTTTGACGTCACGCTGTGCGCCACGTTATTGTTTACATGAGATTAATTTCTACAATAAATAAATACTGTTGCTGTTAATCTTACCATCTGCAGTTTTTACACGCTTACATATACACATGCAGTTACTGTCCCTCCATTTAGAAAGACAGAGGCGTCAGAGTGAACTTCTACATTGAACACAGACGTTCTCACAACCCAAAATCCTGACGTCAGTTTGGAATAAATGTTTTGTTTTTTTTTTTAATTAAACTACTTATGCTGTATGCATTTTGTTCATTCCTAAGTTGCGAGTCTACATCAGCCAAAATATTGTCTTTAGTTAATAACATTTGAAATGATGAAGGCACTTGAAAAGTAACACAAAATTAGCTGCCTTTTCAGAAAAATACAAAAACTTTTCAGAAGTACTTAAAGTTTTGTGAGGGCACAAAACCCTGTTTACTCTTTCCCTCCTAGGCTTTTAGACTTCTGATTGGCCAACATTTAGTTTTTAGCTTTACATGTGGACAGAGATATTTGTTCAAAACTGCACGTGTGGACTGGATTTTTTGTTTGTTTGTTTGTTTTTAAACAAAAAGGTGAAATCTCTGTTTTCAAAAAGACCCCTGTACGTGTGGACATAGCCTCAGCTTAAAACTCACAAAACTATTTCAACAACCACCAAACAGCTAAAACAGTAAATGAGAGCAGGTAAAACGGATTTTGCACAAAGATGTAAACACAAAGCGCGGAACCGATGCATCAAAATGCAGGTTTCATCACTCTCCAACCAAAATTAACTGAACCAGCAGCAAAAGAAGATCCAAACTACGCTTCACATTTGATAAATACTGTCATTAATTCCCTCTTGCTGTCTTGTTTTCACCACAATAAAAAATAAATAAATAAATAAAAAAAATAAAAAAATCACACTTCCTGCACAGCTCTCTCGTAGTGTACTTCGAGAAAAGTTTCCCCATCTGAAATCTGTTTTCCACATTATTCCCTTGCTTATTATACATCAGTGTACGGTTGTGCTTAGCGCTGTTGTCAGTTGATTTTTTGTGCCAAATTATGCCAAATTGCAAAAAACTCAGCTTGTTCTCTAATAAAACCTCTAATAAAACCTCTGTAACTTTGCTCTGCTTTACTTCAGCAGCATCAGGTAATGTTCATATATTGATTCATGGTTTTCTTCAGTTTTTGTTCAACTGCAGAATATTTCTAAGGTTATCTGATTTAAAAAGCCACTCCAGGAAAATCTCCTTCATGTTTTTCTGTGTTTTATCCTCAGTTACTTTGGCATAAAGACATCTGCTGTGATGCTTACACCAGCCTTAAAAGCTGTTGTATTACAATAAAAGACCCTGACATCACTTTATAAAGTAACAATTCTAATTGTTACAAACTCAAAAAAAGATTCCTACTAGTATATTTCTGGCATGCATCAAATTTTAAATAGAAATGAATTTTGAAATATACACTGCTTCTTATGTCAAAGTCTGTAAAAATAAAGAAAGAGATAAACCACACATAACCCTTGCTACTATTCACTCCACTGTCCAACAGCAAAATCAAACCAATATACAGATATTAATAACATATTAATGTAATAGTGTGACTATGCAATTTATAAGTAGCCATAGTCAGCCAAGTCATAATCAAAACAACAAACATCTCAAGTTTTGAGATAATTGCAAACCCTCCTGGCCAATAACCACACAAGCTGTCCATGAAGGAAGGCTGATAAAGGAGCATGCACAAAATTCAAACAAATTTAAGCCATAATGAAACAAATTAAAATAACAGTGCGCATGCACAAATAAGGCACCAGACAAACACTTAAAGATCACAGATCTTTAGAACCACATCCAAAGAGCAATTGCTTTTCTTTTTTATAAATAAATAAATGTGTAGATTCTAGCCAAATATACATTACAAAAAGGAAAAAAGGAGGGCCACAGCAATCATAGTAAAAGGAGTTGGCACTGTGGCCCTAACAAGACCGATCAGTTCTGCTTAAATAATCAGTTTCCCTCATGTACAGAGCTTGCACAACAGTGAGAGGCAGATTCTAGAGTCAGTACACTATTTCTGATTAAGTTCTCACTAAAACAACTACACATATAAAGTTGCATACTAAAGTGTGTATGAAAAAAAAAACCCAAACAAATCAAGAACACCTATATTTTATTTGCTTTTTCTGGAAAAATGAGAACAATGGCAAGAAAAATGATGATGTCTTCTACAGAAATAGAGTGCTCACTGATCTGCCTCTCTGACTGCTGTGCATGCTCCTGACACAGGGGCAAAAGCTGGGGACTAGTTAGTGAAAATACCCTCCCATATTCCTCTTAAAAAATTAGAACTTCGTTAAATTGGTCTAATACAGTCCTTTATTAATACTAATCATAGAGAAAAACCAAGATAATGTTTAAGTACAACTTGATGTTAAGTACACGCAGTAATTAATTTTGGTGCTAGTTAAGCAGTATACAGGACACCAGAAAATGCTTTCAAACTGTGAAAATTGGCTAAATCCAACATTACGTAAAAATTTCAACTAGCTTAGCATTGCTTGAGTGCTAGGAAAAAGTTTGCCAGCACTTGTGCCATTCATTACTTTGCAGCATCATAACTTTGTAAACATTTCATTTATACTTAGGGATTCAAATTAAGTCAAAAAAGTTCTTACCCTTACTGCAGATAAATTCGTAGCTCAAAGATGCACTTAATCCAAAAATTGTCAGCTTAACTGTCAGCTTTGTCCAAGGGCGCGAAATGAAGAATGTTCCAGAATGGGGGGGACGGGTTCAAGAAAACCTCGTGATATTTCATGAAATAACGCGAGATTTCGAAAAGGTTTAACCCTAACCCTCCTACATGGAGTGAAATTTTTTTCCCACTCAAATGTAAAACCATTTATTTTATTTTATTAAGCGTCTTACAATTTTAAGTCATATCTGTTCTTTGTGTTTCACTTATATTAATATATTTTATATGTATATTTTGTTATTAATTAAATATACATATGCTGCCTGTGGCATAATTTATTATCAGTTATTTCATCTTAATTCATGTTTATACTTACACATGACTAATAATTATACTTAACTAAGGTCATTAAACTCAGTTGCCTGTTCATGCAACTTCCCATATGTTACCCATATGGTGCCCATAGAACATAGCCCACCTGGGCTGGCTCAGGTGGGTCCTACTTGGCTAACCCAGGTGGGTCCCAGATTGGATGCCCATTGTAAGCCCATCCCCACTTGGAAACCCCATAGCCCATGTGGGGCCCACATACTGGTGTTTACTGGGTAGTGGGTACAACATGAGGAAAACATGAGCTAAAAAGTTGGAATGGCATTAGCAGTGGGTTCTGTATTTGCATCTTATTTCTAGTTTGAATTGACTAAGTTCTGGCACTGAGTGGGCCCCATGTAGTAAAACAGTCACAAAATCAATTTTTCAGACGGCTAATACAGGTTCTGTGACATAAAGACACCAAATATATTAAAGCTGACCGCAAACAAAATCTAGTTTGTAAATAAAACCATTTCAAAAATCACGAGGGTACACAAAACAACATTTTTCACATTTATTTTGTCCAACAACTGTGATTTTACGTAACTGTATTCCAAAGTGCGTAAACGTTTAAAAACTAGAAATGTCAAACTACAGCAAAATTCCTTAGATATTTGGAACTGTAGCAACATGGGGAAAAAGTCAGATGGAAAACTCAAAAGCTTATCTTGAATCAGCAGGGTTTGTTTTTTTACAGA